ATGATATTGTCTGGAAAAAGCTATATGGTAGAAGTGAATAACAAAATTAATGAAGTCAATGGCTTCAGAGCTGTAATATTTTGACCTGCTACCTAAGTTTTGTGCACAGAGTGAAAATGGTCTTGTATTACGATCTCACTGTTGTTGAGAGAATTAATTATTATCAGTCTACGTAATCAAGCAGGCTGGACGAGCTACATTCTGTGCTAAAGTTGAGATAAATTTTAATCAGGTCTCACAAGTAAATATTTATAAATACTAAAATTAAACATAAGTAGACTTTAGAGTAAAAACGTGACAGGAGGACGAGAACACACACACACACACACACACACACACACACACACACACACACACACATTAACATGGTGGAAACTGAGTGCCCAAATGAGCCACAGAGATATTAGAAAGAACTTTTTTAGTGTCAGAGTGGTTGACAAATGGAATGCATTAGGAAGCAATGTGATGGAGGCTGACTCCATACACAGTTTCAAGTGTAGATATGATAGAGCCCAATAGGCTCAGGAACCTGTACACCTGTTGATTGACGGTTGAGATTCGGGACCAAAGAGCCAGAGCTCAACCCCCGCAAGCACAACTAGGTGAGTACACACACACACACACACACAAAAAAAACACAAACACTCAAACACACACACACACACACACACACACACACACACACACACACATGGGGTCTGGTAGCTGAGTGATCAGCGCGCGGGACTCGTAATCGTGTAGCCCAAGGTTCGATTCCCGGCGCCGGCAGAGACAAATAGTCAGAGTTTCTTTCACTCTGATACCCCTGTTACCTAGCAGTAAATATATATACATGTATGTTTTCACCTGCCATACTTATGGCAGTATGGGTTCGAGTCACTTTTGGGGTGTGAGTTTTCAGTTGCACGTATGCCTGGGGACCATTCAGGCTTGTTCGCATTTGTGTTCCTCACGTGTGCCCCAAAGAATGAAGTGATTTGATAAAATATCATGCCCCATGCCCTGAACACTTAATGGTAATATTAATAGATCATGCCATTAATATAGGTATGAGATGTTATTATCTTATTGTACATGTAAGAGGTTCCTGTCTCAGGGTCTGATTGTATGGAGCCTGTCTTAATGTCGGCTTGAGTGATACCTGCCTAATGATCAGCTTAGACGCGGTAATCATATAAGTGGAGTGGATAATCCGGATTATTGTCTTACACGTATTATAAAATGGTTGACATATGTAATCTAATTCTCTTATCTTGTCATTTTCCCTGGTGATCTATTAAACTGAAGAATTTGAATTATCTATTTTTATCACGTTTATATCATATTATAAATATTGTAATATTATGAGGACTTTTTGTCTCAGAGAAGAAAATTAGAGTTATTTAAAAAAATATTTTCGAGTTTCTCTCCCAGTTCGTATAATATAATTGTTTAGTTTCGCCACTCCCTCTTTATATTCATATATTAATTAGATAAACACTGAATTGGATTCGAGTTTATATCGATCCAACATCCAAAAAGAAAACTACCATTCAAGAAACATTCTCTATCTCCTTAGCGAGGGCACAATGGGCAATGATGCAGATGGCATTTCTTCTCTGAATTGCAACACTTTGACGCTGGAAAAAAAATATCAATTGGTACCTTGGCTGCCATAACGACCTTACAGTCCAACTGAATTCATGAACCCATTTAGGTGCACATTTACGCAAGAAACCAAGTGTTTCATAAACATAGATGGAAGTGTGAACCTGTGCAAGGCAAAGGTATTTACTTGTACCACTGCTTTCTTCATGTCGACTGTACACAACACAGGTGCTAGCCAACGTGGAGACTCGTGTGTATTTCCACACTACTCGCAGATCATACTTCCAAGGAATCCTTTCTTGCTGTCACTGAGTCTGCCTGTTTCCGTTCCGTTTGTGAGACGTGAGGAGACTTCATTATGTATTTGGTTTCTTAATGTTTTGCATGTTTTCCTTTTGATGAGCGAGAGATGAGACTGGAAACCCTATTGGTCTGCGGGTGCAGTGGCATATACCCCGCTTGAGAGGATAGTCGTGGCATTACAAAGGAATACACCACAGACCTGAGAGTGAGGACGGGTTTCCAAGGCATAAATTGGACCGGCAAACAAGATATCCTCAGCAACCAGAGCTTTTATAGCCTGGAAGAAAGCTCAGACCATCCCACATTCACTCTCCTAGTCTGTCTGTCTACGATCCTTTCGGAAAGCTGGTCATGACGAAGAGGCTGCAGAGGTGTAAGAGGCTACAGAGATGTAAGAGGCTGCAGAGGTGTCGCACCACCTGACTCCCTAAACTAACTTGGGGTTTATGAAACCTAACTGAGTTTCTCATACGCTATGCTTGTCTTTCCTATTTGCTCACTGATATTATTGCACAAGAACACAAAAAACAGAAATTTTATGTGTCACTAGGCATAGACCTGTCCACTCTCACTAACCAAATGGTTTTGTTTATATTATTATTCTTTTTGT